AGGAATCCTTCTCACTTCCCTTTGTGTGTGTGTGTGTGTGTGTGTGTGTGTGTGTGTGTGTGTGTGTGTGTGTGCGTGTGTGTGTGTGTGCGTGTGTGTGTGTGTGTGTGTGCGTGTGTGTGTGTGTGTGTGTGTGTGTGTGTGTGTGTGTGTGTGTGTGTGTGTGTGTGTGTGTGTGTGTGTGTGTGTGTGTGTGTGTGTGTGTGTGTGTGTGTGTGTGTGTGTGTGTGTGTGTGTGTGTGTGTGTGTGCGTACCACAGCGATTGCAGTCATACCACAATACTTTTACCAAATAAACCAATAAATATTTCTACAATCACAAACACGGCGGTTTATTACAGTCACAGATCTCCATACTTAAATCCCGTACTACCCTCCTTTTCCAGAAATGAGTTAACCATTAGGATGAAATGTGCTAGGTGTCAAAGGTTGCAGAGCACTATAGAAGAGAATAGTGAAAAAGTATAGTGGAGTACGTCGAGGATCTGTAAAAGGAGAAGGGGTTAAGTGTATAGGGCGATTAGATCAAATGGAGAGTATGTGTCTGAGGAAGAGAGATTATTACTTTATGAGGCATTGGCGTAGCGAAGGGGGGGGGGGGGGGGGGGTCGGGGGGTCAGAACCCCCCCATGGGCCATGGATATAGGGCACCATATCAAACTTGAAGTTATAATATTACATTTATATAACTTACAGAATGCGCCACAGACGACGTAGAGGGATGTAAAAATCAAATTTTTTTCTCAAACTTGTCTTTGTAATACACAATTTATCATTCATCGTCCTTAAATGCCCTGGTGGTTTGCATATAACGGCATTTTGCCTTTGATCTTCCAACAGATAAGATGTAAACCGAACAATAGGGTCCTGCGAAAGGAAATGGGTAGCACAATGTTATCTAGTTACTGATATTGTTAGCAAGATTAATTAAATGTGTACATATGCCGAGAAACAGCCAGGAAATACAACCCTCTTTGATGAGAGCTTGTCAATTGTGATATTGAATTACAACTATAGAACCACCTTATCTACCCCATCCTACATTATACTACAATGATGAATCACATGATTCACATCACTATGACTACGTACAGCCTAGAACTGATTCCAGCTACAATTGAGCCTGAAAATATTAGCCAATCAGTTTTATGAGATATCTAGATATGGTATCGTGACTATTGTTAAATATTCCAGTAAGTGGGCAGTCTGTGTTTGAGAGAAGTTTGGAAATTGTGAGAACGTTAATCTTGTTAGTCTCAGGCTTGGCGATGCTTAACAACCATCGCGACATCCGCGTGAGTCCAGAGGACATCGTGAACAGACTAGCGAGCAGGCAACGACGACTGAATTTCCGCTTGGAATAATATTATTGGAAGAAATCCCTTTTCGGACTATACTATTTACTTTTGAGACTTTTCCCATAAAAACACTGAGATGTAGATATATCAAATATTCTTGATATGAGCCTAATATGTTTTTTGTCTTTCAATACACCGGAATTATTAACATTGTGAATATAGGAAATTCGCTGAGATTTATCTTCGGAGAATGCTTAAAACTGCCAAAAATAACATGTCTTTTCTCAAAATTTTCCCGGGGGGACCCCGGGGATACCCCCTCCATATCACCCTCCCCCAGACGCGCTTCCAGCACGTCTCCACGCGCCTCCGGCGGCTGTCTACATTTTATTGGAAGACACTTGTAACCCCCCCCCCCATTGGAAATTTCTCGCTACGCCACTGGCATGAGGAAAACTGCACAAGATCCATTATAAATCAATTAAAGGGCAGCACGGATAGAATTTGGTGTTGGAGAAGTAGGGGAATAACCTAGAGGATGAAATAAGGGAACAGGGGAAGGTGGTGAAGTATCAGGAAGAATGTCAGGAGGGGGGGGATCTGGAGAAGGATTTTGATGTGGCATAAAGGAGGCATGTGGGCATCCAGGTTGGAGTGCTAAGGCTAATGGGGAAGGAAGAGGGAGTAATGATACAATTGGAGAAGGAGCGTGGGAGGAAGAAGGGTAGGGGGGAACTTAAGAGGGAGGAGGAGGAATATCAGCAAAAACACTTTGTTACGAGGAGGAGAAAAGGGAATAGATGTCCGAGTAGCAGAGGCAGAAGTGGGTGTAGGAGAGGATGTGGTAGGAGAAGATTGCCTCGTGAGACAAGTAGAGTGAGAAGGAGGAGGGGTAGGCATCGGGTAAATGGTAGATTTGGGTATCTAAATTTACACTGGAAAATGAATTTGACTGGGGAAGAGAGGGAGTAAAGAAAGGATGGTACGGGGTAGAGAGAAATTGATATTGAGGGAGAAGTTGAGACATCCTGCGAAAATGGGCGGAGACTGGAGCGAAGTACAGTTAGATAGGTAGGAAGATAGGTAGAATAGGTAGGAAGAGAAAAACCTTATCGGCGTGCTTCTTGCCTGACCTCACGTTGAGTGAGGAACTTGTAATGTCTTCAACTAATGATAAAAAAGGAACATGGTCAACTTGAATCAGATCTACACCGCCATAAAAAGTTCCTTCATAAAATTTGCTTTAGAGTGGATATTGCAAGCATGTTTTGATTTATTTAGTATGTATAATATTGTCAGCATAAAAAACTGAAAGAAACATGCATCATACTGTTTGTTAGATATGTTACTTATCCCTTTGATGCTCAGAACACAACGTTTTCAGTTATTTTGTTATTATTTTTTTTAATATCCATACTTTTTGTTAACTAGAATGCAAGTTTTCTAAATATGTTCTAGAGGAACATTACAAATTTCATATATTTATAAAACTGAAAGAGGAGTACTCATTTTCCATGAAATATACTTTTGTGCGTGTAACCATTGAAAATCTGTTTCATTCAGCACCCCTAACTCTCGCTCCTACTTTATACTTTGTTGACAAATGTGGCTCTTGTGAAACTTTACATTTTGGTGCCCAGACCCGGGAAAAGGTTCTATAAACAATCCCGGTTGTATTTTTGTGTTAATGATAGGAGATATGGAGAAGCCTTATCTCTAACATACCGAAGGGTCTTCTTGATAATCCAGACGTCAGTGTCATAGAATTGCATGCTGCCATGGATGACTTTCATGTCTTGATCGATGTCTTGCCATTTTGGAGGAGGTACAAAAAATTAGTGACTGACCCAGTGAACCTGGGGGAAGAGCTCGATGGTGCCTCCGACTTTATTCGAGAAGTCCTTAAGCCCAGGCTGCAACTGCACAGAGGTTGGGGGATTTGATGAAAGGTGAGAAGTGTGACCCTATTTCATCCTGTAGGAGCAGTAGAATATCTAGTAGCTAAAGGCAGCAAATTTCAAATTACCCAAATTAAAGTTTCCCAAGTTCAAAGGAGATGTAACTCTGTGGCAGTCATTTCGGGACCAGTTTGTGACTCATGCGCATGAGTCATTACTGGAAGATGCTAAATGTGTTGTAAAAGGACCTGCACACACCAAAGCAAATTACCAAATTGCTTGTAACTTGCTGAAAGATTTGGAAGACCTGAGCGTATTATATTTGAATAGTAATTTTCCCGTGAAAGGCAAGGGACCTAGAGGCCTTAGGAGTGCCAGGGAAGCAATGTGAAGTGTCCCTGTCCCCATCATCCTGTCAATCCTTCCTGGGGAGCTAAGGATGGAGTAGGCTGAGAGGGTTCTTTTCATGAAAGTGATATCAGTTGGCTGCTGCAGTTTCTTCAGAGAAAAAAAAAGAGAGAATTAAGAGAGCAGAAACCTTCAAGGATGTCCTGATGGGGAAGACAGAAGGATATTTTCTGGACTCAGAGAAAAGATGAGTGCCATCTGCATCAGCTCTTCACACATCATCTGATGTAGGATCATCTTATTCTGCTTTCTTCAACAAGAAACTGGGAAATGCTGGGTATAGCTGCTGTTAGATCACATACTTCATATCAGCAGTTGGTATATCACATATTTCGTATATCACGTATTCTGCAATACTACGATCGGAGAGGCCTGTGTGGTATCAATTCCTTTTCTGTATCATAATCGCAACCGCCGAGAAAGCCTCGGCGAGTACAACCGGGTCAACACATGGTCAGCCATAAGAGCTGACCTGTCAAAACCGTACTTATGCGAGAGGTCGTGTCATGGGACGAGGTGACGTCTCTACGAATGATCGATGCTGTGGGATAATGAGATCGCGACCAACTTAATGTATAACATATGAAGTAGAATGTTACTTGACGTTGTAGCCTGTGTATGTTTAAAGTGTGAGGCCAGTTCGAGGGGAATCTCCGTGCCGTCAAGACGCCCATAGAATTCTGGAACCAGACCATAGGATGGTATTCTGACTGTTCCCGCAATGCGTATATATCCAATATTTGTAGAAAGTTCTTTAATATATAATCCAACATACATTGTTATTAAGCGGCTTTGTATACTGTGTGTATTTGTACAATCGATGTATTAATCAACAGGTTGACTGTTACTGAATAAACCTTAAGCGAGTTTTACGCAGTGGTATCAGTCACCCCACACCCATTGACAATAATAAGCGTTCAGAAGCTCTCATTAAAGGAACGCGAATTACTCCAGTAATTTTGTAAAGAAAATTAAGCCTAAATGGGTGACTTTGGAACCTGTGCAATACACTGATTTTGGAGGTAGGAAGTCTCCTCCAGGTAGAGTAATATCTTTGACTTCAAATTGGTAAGCTTACAAGGTGTAGAACATTTAATGGCATTAGAAACTCCAAAGGTTTGTGCACCGTTAACAAGACCCTGTATTCCCAGGTTGATGTATTTTCTGACTTTCAACTTGTTTATGATTACAAGAATAATAGCCACCTGAGTATAGATATACTTGTGGCTTTGGATGCTTATTGGGGATTTATGGATCCCGAAGTAGTCATATCAGAGTAATGGATTACTAGCCCAGAGGTCTACGTTTGGTTGGGTTTTGTCTGGCTAATGGATGGATTCTTCTAACAAGCAATTTGAGCGTACCTAAATGTTGTGCTTAGGAAATGTAACAGATTCTGAGTTAGAATCCGTTGGAATAACTCAAAATGAAAATGTTTCTGGCCCATTTACCTCTGACCCTGTTCTACAGCAATTGTGGGGAGGGGGCATTATGAAGTAGGCTTACCCTAGATGTCAGATGGCTGTATGAAGAATCTTAGAAATAATGAAGAACTTGTAAGGAAAATGCTAGAAGGATTAGAGCGTAAGTTTGATAAGGACCCACACCTTAAGAAACAGTATTCTGATGTGTTTACTGGTTATGAAGAAGAGGGAATAATTGAGGAAGGCCCTTCATATGAGGTTTTAAGCCTACTTACTATATGCCTCATTGTCTAGTTGTCAAAGAAAGTAGTTCCCCAACTAAGATTAGACCAGTTTTTGATGCTCCTGCAGCTAGTTACAATGGCATTTCTTTAAATGATTGTCTTGAGTCTGGTCCCTCACTTAATCCTGATCTTATGAAAGTTTTGATTCTTTTCAGAAAGAGGAAGGTTGCACTGACTGCTGATATTACAAAGGAATTCTTACAGATTTGTGTTCGGCAAGAAGACCGAGACGTTCATCACTTTCAATGGAAATGCAAAGACTAATACTGAAGTCATAGAAGAATTAAAGGAAAACCTGTATGTGAATGATTGGATGACAGTACTGAAGAAGCTTCTCATAAGCTCAAAGAAGCCCAGTTTCCTTTTCCTAAATGACATTCAAATTGTAATTTGACTACAAAGTTTAATGACAAAATTGATCATGGTGAGGAACATGAATCCACCAAGATTTTAGGTATGAAGTGGTTATCGTTAACAGAACAGTTTGTCTTTGAAGGTTTTGATTTAGACTTGGAGACGCAGTTGATGTCGACAAAAAGAGCAGTTCTTAGTCTCATAGCCAAGCTATTTGATCCACTTGGTTTGATTAGTCCTTTTGTCATGTATGTTATTGCAGCTCTGAAATACTGGAAGAATAATCATTGCTATCTTCCAGAAATTTCATGCAGAGAGTTATCTGTTATAGAACTTCATGCCTTTGGTGATGCTTCAAAGAAAGGGTATGGAGCTTGTGTGTATTTGAGAGTTCCCCTTGTGGATGGGATATTCCAGGTATTATTTGTAGTAGCAAGGTCAAGGGTAGCCCCAACAAAAAGGGTTATTTTACCCCGACTACAGGGGCTTGCTGCATCACTTTGTGCTCGGCTCTTAGATTTTGTGAAGTCTGCCCTCTAGCTTGATAAGACGAACTCAAAGGTTGTACTTGCATGGATAAAAGGTAATCCTTGTTGATGGAAGGTGTTTGTGTCAAATAGAGTTATTGAAATTCAGATTCTCACCTCCCCATGCAACTGGTACCATTGTCCAGGGAAGGAAAATCCTGATCTTGTTTCTAGAGTTAGCCAAGCCACTTGTAAATCCTACCCTTCTTGGTTGTCTGAACCTTTAACTTTAAGTGACGAAAAAGAAACTGTAGAGTTACCTGTAGAAGAAAGTTACAGCGAAAAGAACACTTCTTGTGTACCTGTGACCACTCCTAAAATATTTGAGTTTGAGAGATTGAGTCAATTCAATAAAGCTTATCATGCAGTAGCTTGAGTTATGAGATTGATAAATAATGCCCGACCTCATTCTGTGAAAATGTCAGGTCTATTGTCTTCTGGCGAGTTGGTTAAAGCCAAGAACAAATTGTTTTACTGTGTACAGAGAGATTTTTTTTTGTGTAGACTAGATTTCTTTGTAGATGATGAAGGCCCGTTATTAAAGGACGTTTGGAGAATGCAGTCCTAAGTTTTGAAAGCAAACATCCTGTTATAGTTCCTTCAGGTCATGTTGCTAAGTTCTTGGTTCAATTTCAGCATATTTTCCTAAAGCTTGCTGGAGTATCTACCATTATATCTACCTTAAGAGGCAGCTATTGGATAGTGGGAATCAGGCGAATTGCTAAAACTGTTTGTAGAGTATGTGTTAAGTGTAAGAAGTATGATTCCAGAGCTTGTAATCAGCCTACTGCACCTCTACCAGGATTAAGAGTTAAGATTGCTCCTCCCTTTATTGTGTCTTGACTATGCCGGTCCTCTCTTCTGTATTGATTTGCATTCCAAGAACTGTGTGCTGTAATAAGAGCAGTGCACATAGATTGCATGCTTGCTATACGTAGCGCAAAGAGGCATTCCTTCCGTTTTTTACTCAGATAATGTGGCTCGTCAACTTCAGCAAGAATATGGTCCACTATCTCCTCAGTGGAAATTCATTGATCCTCCATGGTGGGGAGGTTGGTGGGAGCGTTTGATTAGGTCTGTTAAGTCTGCTTTGAGGAAATGTCTGTCAAGAATTGAGCTTGAGACAACTCTTCAAAAAGTTGAGGCTTGTGTACATTCCAGACCTTTAACCTTTGTTAGAGATGAACCCGATGTTTCAAATAATGCAGGACTCCAGCTTAAGAATAGCGACCAGCCTTCATATTCTAAAGAAAATATGAGAGTCTGCTTCAGAAGAAAATATCAGACCATCAGTTTTTGGAAACGATGAAAATAGTACCTCTGAGCCTTATGAAGAGAATATTTGAAACCCTACTTCCTATAAACGACGGGATCGTGCAGTAAGAGCCCCAGTGAAACTAATAATACTTTGTAGTACTTAGAAGTGTAGTTTTTTCTTGCTTCTTAATGTTAAGATTAGGATAAGGTGATGAGTTAAATATTATGTGAGTTTATAAATGCAATCTCAGAAGAGAAAATTGTCATATTATTATCTCTCACGATTTTATTACCTCATTTACGTATACTTAGTCTGTGATAGGAGTAAGTCCTCCTAAGGTGGGGTGTATGTTAAATATATGTTAGTTATCCCTTTGATGCCCCAACACTACGTTTTCAGTGTTTATCCTCGGTTCCTTTTTTATTATTTTTGAATTAAATAATATCTATATTTTTGTTATCTAGAGTATACGTTTTCTAAATGTGTTCTAGATATTACATATTTCATATATTTATAAAATTAAAAGAGGAGTACTTATTTTCATTGAAAATATATTTTCGTGTGTTTTGAAGATAAAGGTCACTCAATGAAAATATATTTTTGTGTGTTTTGAAAATAAAGGTCACTACCCGTTTCATTCAGCACCTTTAATCCTCGCTTCTTCATATCTTGTTGACAAACGTGGATCTTGGGAGTCCTTACACTGTTCTCTTGTCAATGGAATGCAGGAGTAATGACTCCAATTAACATAATGCAATAAGATATGAAATGTTGTTTATAGACTGAATCAGCTGGAATATTTCTGTGGCTCAACAGATTCATTTCCCTGCCCAGCAGATAATTCTGTAATGGGTAACGGACACTCAAAGTACGTCATTCTTAAATTTCTAGTAAAGTGGAACATAACTAACTTTCTCAAAATATTTAGATTTTTAAAATTTTACCTATGACATTTGCATATATTATCATAAATAGTAAGAGGTAGATTCTTATTGTGTTAATCAGTGTACAGCTACACAGAAAACTCGTTAGGAGGGTATCGTGACATTCAATAACGAATAGAACCTTATGGTTCGCTTTGATTCATAATGTATCGAATAGGTATTCCGTAATTCCTATGGAGGATTCACTGTGACATCGATATCTTATTCACAAAAAGGATGGAATATGCCTTGCAATATGCAGCCAAGCAGCCCTTCTAGGATACAGTAGTAATGTGCGACGAGAAAACTTTTTCTTTTCTTTCTTTTCTGAAGGCACCAACGAGATATGTATAGCATCAACAAAACACCTGCTGGTACGCCGGGGTCTGGGGGTTGAAGGGTGGCTTGACACGGTGCTTTGGAGCTCCTGTGGAGCACCTGTCTGGGACTCGCTACCTCGCGGGCGAAGCGGGCGAAGGTGACGTCTGTTTCTGATCGTGGCTCTGCCGCTGCCGTCCAGCCTCAACAAATATCGCAGTCAGCTCCACCACTGTTCCCGACCGATCCCACCCCCCAGTGACAGGGTTCTGAATCCGTGTCTGCTGTCTCGGCTTGAGGGGGGCCAGGGTATGGGCTGTCTGGTCATGACAAAGCGATGATTTTGCTGCAGAGTGGTCCATGGCACGTTCCCTTTCACGTAGCATCAATATCCATTGCTCACTGATTAAGTACGTGCCTTTTCCACTGGTATGGCATCCCGTAGTTGCCTGCCTATCAGCAGCTGCGATGGGGACGTGTCCAACCCTTGAAGGGGTGTGTTTAGGTATTGCATAAGCGCCCTAGTGATGTCGGTGTCCAGTGAGCCTCCACGGGAGATGTTACCTCTTAGCAGCCTCTTCGCCGACTTGACTGCCGCCTCTGTACGCCCATTAGACTGAGCGTAGTGTGCTGAAGAGATCCTTAGCTTGACACACCAGGTACTGAAGAAGCATCTGGATTCATGACTGGTGAGGTTAGTACCTCCATCGCATGACAGCTCCTCGGGGATGCCTAGTCTCCTGAACCATTGACGGAAAGTAGTGATGAGGCAGGAGCTTGTCAGCCTGTCTGCATAGGCAATGTACAAGTTGCCGTCTAGATGGAATAGATCCGCTGCCACTTGCTGGAATAGATACTGAGGTGGAGGCGTGGGTATGAGTTCTTCCTTGGGTTGAGAGGGAGCATGTACCTCGCAAATCTGGCACTGGCGACACTTTTGTTCAACTTCTGCGTCAATTCCGGGCCAGTATATAGACTGTCAGGCCCTACGGAGCATTGAATCTCTGCCTTGATGGCCAGCGTGGAGGTTGTTGAGTATGGTATGCCTGAGGGAGGCTGGGATGACCAAACGTAGGAACCTCACCACTGGTGTACAGAATGAGGTCGTCCTGGCATGAGAGTTTGTTTCGCATCTTGAAGATTGTAATGCAGCCTTCTCCAAGTCTTTCCGTTCTGCCCAGCCATCGTTGGTCACGCACTCATGAAGTATTGATAGTCCCCATTATTAAGGGCTTCCTGTTCCACTTGCCACAATTCCACCACGTGTCTTATATCGTCCTCTACGGCCTCAGCTGCTGTGCTTGCCATAACCACACATATCGCTGTATCCTCAGCCTCATTCTTCCTCAGGTGCATTGGCTATGGCCGGATAGCGAGAGAGTGCATCTGCAGCGCAATTGGTCTTCCCCTTGACATACTTGACACGAAAGTTAAACCTTAATGTCCTATCCAGGTCAAGGAGTTCTCTGTCCCTGAAGATCTTGGTGAGGGCCTTGTGGTCGATGACGAAGGTTAAATCCGTGCAGCCTAGTAGGAATAGGCGGTCTTTTTTAAGGCACCAAACAATTGCGAGTGACTCCCCCTCTAAAGTACTGTAGTTTTTCTCTGCTGTTTTGAGGTGGCGGCTGACGCAAATTGCTAGTTTCCATCCACCCACGCAACACATGGGGGCTTCACTTGACACACACTGGCAATACTGTTGCATAATGAGGAACCCGATCCCTTGACAGCTGTAGTCTGTGAGCACTGCCGTGGGGCGTGAGGTGTCATAGTACCGGAGGCCTTCCACCACCAGATGCTTGATGGTTTCCTTTGTGGATTTAAAGATGTTCAGAGTGTCGTCCCAATACATGCCCTTTCCAGCAGGCTTCTTCAGAAGTTGGTGCTACTGCCAGGAAGGGGGCTACTTGGTTCACAAGGCTGAACCATGACCTTATGTCAGTCAGGGATGAGTGGGGTGGCATAGCAAAGCCTGCGGTGCTGTTGACGAGGTCGTTACTCGGTTGGTATTCCTCCCAACCAAGTAAGTACCCTTCAATTGTGACGCTTCGCCTGCAGAAGCTGAATTTATTGGGTCTCAATGTCACTCCGTTGTTTAAGCACCTCTCTAAAAGGTCATATGTGTGCCAGAAGGCCTCTGCCACACTGGAATCGTACAATAGTGTCATCAATGCACTTCAGTTTCCTGGGAATGTCAGCTATGATATCATCCAAATGCTTAGTGAAGGCATCTTGTGCTGCACAGTGCCCCATGGGGGTCCTACAGTAGTGGAACCGTCCCCAGGGGGTGATGAAAATTGTTACCTTGCAGCTCTCTTCATCGAGGGCAATCTGGTGGTACCTGGAGGAGGCATCTACAATTGTTTTGTATGTGTGCTTTAGCACACCTTTGATAAGGTCGAATGGAGATCTGCTGTGGTGGGTTTCACGGAGGCATGCCTGATTGAGCTTCTGAAAGCCCACTGTTCTGCATGGCTTCCAGTCCTTCTTGGGCACTACCACCATGGTCGCACACCACATGATTGGTTCGCCAGCAGGCACTTCTTCAATTATGCCCCCGCTGATGTCTATACAATATACTGTATACAGACCACGTGGATGCTTGTACCGGCAGGTAGCTAGCGTGGGCGGCAACGCTGCTGGTACAAGCATCCACGTGGTCTGTATACAGTATATTGTATGCTACCTACCCTCGTTCCCCAAGCCAACGCTCGGATATGTAAGGCCTGCAGAGGATCCCCAAAAGCAGGGTGTGACGAGAGTGTTCTGTGCCGAGGTGGGTCACGCTTGACCCCGCGGCCAGGTTGCCGTTTGGTAGGGCTTGCCGTCTGACCTAGGCGCCCTCGCCTTAACCCAAACCTTGTCATCTTGTGATTCAACTCCGTGTGCTAGCTCTATCAATAAAAGAGTTCTAGCCACTAAGCTTTTACTACTTCCCTGTTACCAATGTATAGAGGTGTTTATAGTAACCCTTACAATGTCATCGTCAATCTGTCGCCACACGTCATCGTAGAAGTGATATGGCACAGCAGCGGGCACATGTACTGCATGAGGGCGTGCGTCAAGCCGGAGGTGGATATGGTGTGCAAGGCCGCTCATCTTTGGTAGGGGTGAGCACTTTACTGCAAACACTGTGCGTCCAAAGTGTTCCAACAGCCATCTCTCGAGCTACTACACGTTCTCCTCAACCAACTCATAGGGGGCCTTGGCTGGGCGGATAGTGTGGTATTTCAGAGGTCTCTGCTGTGCTGACCTGTGCTGCCCGAGACAGCGTAGGACGTGGGAAGGACTTAATGCAGGGGAAACACCATGACAGTTCTGATTTCATGCTGCAGTCGCTCAGCCTCATAATTACTTTTCTGCATAACATATACTCAGTCAATGACCTATTATATTCAGGGCACTGGAAACTGCACTCTCCGGCCATGGCACGACAGATAGATACATATGCGGCTACACTATACCCTGCTGACTGGTCATACGTAAAAAAATCTGCCTATGCACCCACTTCGCACCGTGGGCCGATCACTACGTTTCTCACTGCTGCTGGTGTTGAGAGCTTCTTGAAATCTTGCCTGTCGATGCAGGCGTCGATACGCTGCTGGACATCACTGCTGCAAAGAAGTCTCACATAAGAAGCAGCGAGGGGCGGGGCCCATCCGCAGATGAAGCCGTAATCCTCCACGCTGACAGCTCATGCTTCGAACGCTGCTGGGGACATGCCTGAGGTTGCTGTTCCTGGCCCTGACACTCACCTCGGCTGGTTGATGAGGTGAGTGTTGCTCGGTCCATAACCCTGGTGGAGGCGTCGCAATGTGTTCTGCTGACTGGGGTCTCTGTGGTGTCCACCATGATGGATAAGTGGGTGGTGCTTGCTGACTCTCTGGTGATGAATTCTTCTATGGGCGCTGACCGTCGGGGTAGCTCTCCTCCACTGCTTTCTGGCACCTCGCGAGGCATCCTACTCACTGCGCCATGTTAAGGATCGAGGTGAAGACATCTGTTTCCTTTAGTTTATTCTGGTATAAGAGGAACACAGGACATTCATGGAGGTCAGCCGGCAACTGCCGTTGACCAGCTCTCGAGCTGCCACGCTGCCCGGGAAAACATGTACCGATACACATTACTGACGACTCCCACAAGTATACAATTATTCATACAAAAAAAAATGGAGAAGTAAAACCACTCCTTCCAGGATGTGGTAATATATATGTGGCCTTGTTCTTCTTGAGTATGGGTCCAACACCTCACAGAGCCTCAAAATCCCTTTGCCATTTCTTCCAAAAGGATGCTACAATTGCCCGAATATAAATTTTTTTTTCTAAAATTTTCGGTTTGATCCCAAATTCTTATCGGGACTTCAATGTTAGATCTCCCAAGAAGATCATTGGGACCCAAACTCGTCAACTCTGAAAAGAGAAATACATAACTACATATGCATACACACACAAGTCTTCATTGAGGTTCACAGGAAATGCTTTGGGTGGCGAATTGTGGGATTTACTGGATCCTGAACAAGTCTCTAATTAATTGCAATTAAAATTTTTAATGTTGAGAGCATATTAAGTTTGCAAATGCGCTACTGATGTATTTATTAGAAAACGTACACTCATCTATTCTGAATATGATGATTTAGCTGAATACAATATGGCCCCTGCAGTAATGATTATCATTCGCACACGTGTGTGTGTGTGTGTGTGTGTGTGTGTGTGTGTGTGTGTGTGTGTGTGTGTGTGTGTGCGTGTGTGTGTGCGTGTGTGTGTGAGAGTCTGTATTTGTTTGTCTATGGGTATATATTCACATGTAAAGTAAAAAAAAGAACATTCTTACCAAAATCCATTGAGGAGCCTGGTGCAGGACCCTGCACTAAAAGTCGGTGAGAAAATCCATGGCTACCATACTTGACGCCCTTTTGACATCGGCCACCAGAAAGCTATAGACAATTTCCTGCGATGATTGGAAAGAGTGTGTCTGCACTCACACGCGTCTGCGTATGCTTGTGTACTTTGCAGTATGTGCATGTATGTGAGTGTGTGTTTGTGTCTGTATGCGTAAGTGGGTGTTCGTGTGTGTGTGTTTACGTGCGCGCACGTACATGTTTATCTGTACCTTTTTCTGTAGGTCATTCTGCCTTAGATTATCTGTGTGCATTTATATATGCGTGTGAGAATGTATTAATACATGGGCACCTTTGTGTGTGTGTGTGTGTATGCGTGTGTGTGTGTGTGTGTGTGTGTGTGTGTGTGTGTGTGTGTGTGTGTGTGTGTGTGTGTGTGTGTGTGTGTGTGTGTGTGTGTGTGTGTTGGAAAATAGGGGTGCCAACGGTTTCCAAGCGTTAACAACTATATTTCAAAAAGTTTCGTTGTTTGTGTCAGAATGTTTAGCGTAATTTTCTAACGATAGTTATCTGTGTCTTGTACGTGCTAGGTTAGTGGCGATGATCATTATTATACATTATATAACAAAAAAATGTGTGTGTGTGTGTGTGTATATATATGGTAGAAAAACCCACAATGTAAAAACTAGATTTATTGGAAATGAGACATCAGTTTCGGGAACCACCTTGATTCCATCCTCAGGTCTGAAAAGGAAAGGGAGAAGAGGGGGTATAAAAGAAAACGATGAATTGTAACGCGGAGCCTCTAGGCTAGTACAGTGGTAACGTGTCGGCCTCTCATCCGAGGGGTCGGCGGTTCGCGCCCCGCCCAGGCGCGAGAAGTTGCAATTGTCGCCTGGAGATTACTGCTGTGGCTGGGCACCACGGTGGGTGAGGACTAAGCTCACCCGAGTCAGCACCAGCTGACATACTGTTAGCGAGTCGACATTAATCGGCACAGGCCGGGCTCCCCTCATAGCCCGGGCGAGGCTCAGCTTCGCATATCGGACTTATCCTTATGTAACGCGGTAACACGGGGCAGGTGAGGACAGACAAACGGAAGCGAAGGGAGGTCAGATCAGGTCGGTGGGTCGGGCGGACTGTGTGCAGGATGACCGGCGTACGGGAGAAGGCGGAGGATATGAGAAGCGAGGAGACTGTCGGCAGAAGAAAAACCGCTGTTCAGGTTGAAAATTAGGCAGCAGCTTTATTAAGGAGGATTCCACCAGTCTGCGGGCGTGGACGTCAGCGGAAGGAAAGACAATTTGCGCCGCTGACCAGTTCATCTGATGGCCTGTATGCCACTGATGGCAGAAGAGAGCGTTGTTGTTGTGTTCCCTGGATATAGCGTACTTATGTTGAGACAGGCGCTTAGTGAGACTGGCGCCCGTCTCACCAAAGTATTGCTTGTCACAGGAGGTACAAGGAACAG